CCCCCCCCCCCCCCCCCCCCCCCCCCCCCCCCCCCCCACTCCAAATAGCCTTTTATTGTTCATTGGCTGTATCCCAAGCTTCTTACCATTGAACCAAATTTGCAACAAAGTTGCCACTTTTCCCTTGGATGCTATAGGCTTTTTTAATTTTTGGACAGTCTGCCATCTGGGACCTTGACAAAAGTTTTGCAAAAACACGTAGACTATATTATATGTTTATCCCCTTCTCACTTGAATTTAATCAAGTTAGTGAGGCATGATCCTCTTCTAGCAAATAACAGCCAAGTGTTCTTGGTGAATCCATTCCTACTTAAATAACAATTTATATTGTCTTTTAGAATTTCTCCCAGTAGTTTGCACACCACCAAGGTGGACCTACGATGACCCCAAGTTCAGATTTTATCTTGGACGTATACTTCAATTTCAAGGCTTTTCTGTGGATAGGAGAGAAATGCACTGAACCTAATTCTTCTGAAAAGAACAGTGAGATAAAGTTGTCCACCATCTGCTTGCTATCTTTGGTGAATCATCCTTGAGTATGATTTCTAAAAGATGGTCTTTTTAAAGAAGCTTCAGTGTTGACAGAGTTATTTGGGACTACTCCATTCCACGTGTTATCACCTTTGTTCTCAAAAGCAGAATGTAGTAGAAAATGCACTGTCAAAAATCTAAATTACCAGACAGGGGGGAGCCATGTTGCCTGACCCTCCAGGAAAAAACAATGTATCTTCAGTGGACACATCTCTTTTATAAATTTCTAAATGCATCAGCACATGTGTCTGCCTTAAAAATATTTCATGTTTACAAAGAGCAACCATATTTTCTTTTTGTGAACTTTTTAAAACTTTGAGAATTTTCTTGATGGTGTCTGGTGTCTGTGCTAATCATTGATTTATTATTATTGTGGTATTTCGGCTTTGAGTGATGGTGTTTCTCTTGGGGAGAAGCTACCATTACCTCTCCATTTTTCTCCTCCAGTCCCTCCTGTTGATCCATGCTCGGCATAGTTTAAGAACTTGGGATGTTTGTGACAGTTATATTGAACACATGCTGTTAAATTTGCTAAGGTTATTGATCTGAATGATCATCTTATTCCATAATTTTTAAATTAATTTAATTTATAATATTGGTTACAATATCAAAGGTGGAAACCAAAGACCATTAAGGAAGCTACCATGGTTGAAGAAGGTAAAAGGGAAGAAGGGAAACTTCTAATTTTAAAAAAAAATAAATTGTTGGGTGACACCAACCTCAAGTTTATAAAAGATGAAGATTATGATCAGAGCAGAAGTCTGTGGGAGGTATCCAGTTACAGTTTTGAGATTCTGGACAGGGATTGATTAAGGTACAACCAGGTTTCGATTCTATACTTTTCATTCTTGCATGGAAATCCCTCCATGGCTCCAACCCTCTCGGTTCTGTGCATACCTCCAATTCTGGCCTCCTGTGAATCTGATATTGTGCACTTCACTCCAAGTGGTTGTGCCTTTAGCAGTATAGGCCCTACATTTAGAATTTCCTTCCTAAATCTCCTGTTGCTCAACACTCCCCTCTTTTTATGGCGCAGCCTATACCTCTTTGATCAAGCTTTTAGTGATCTGCCCTAATACCTCCTTATGTGGCTTTGTGTCAACATGTGTTTGGTAGTAATTGCTATGAAGCATCTTGGGAATTTTACTACCCTAATGGTGCTATATCACTGAATTTTTTTGCATTTGCAGTTTTTTTTGTTTGTGGTTATGGTGAGGAATAAAGAGAATACTTCAGGGAAACACAGATAGAACATTTGAGTTGGAGAATTTGAGTCCAGAAATATCAGTAGTTGGAGAAATGCTTAAGGTGAAACCATTAAGATGATGGCTGCTGCTGGTTCAAGCTTTTGGAAACTTGAAGAAATTGACTCTTGGCAAATAAAAAAGCAGTAACAAGATTTTCATTGCCCTACTAAATCACATTGGAGGAAATCAAGATTTAGTAATTTGGCTATCATGTTACTGGGGGAATGGAAATAATGAGCGCTATGGCTATAATTTCATTAGCAATAGCAATCAGGACCTGCTTCCTATTTGTGGTGTTGTGAACTTAGGACCAGTGGAAATCTCTTTTGATTCATACGTCTGTTAGGAAATGCAGATGCAAAGCTAGCCCATGCTCCACTTCACATGCCGGCATTGGACTGGGGTGGACAAAGTCAGAAGTCACACGACGCCAGGTTATAGTCCAACATGGTTATTTAAGATCACAAGCTTTAGGAGAGCTGCTCCTTCAGGTGAAGTGGAGGGAAGCGCATAGACGCAGAATATATAGGCAGGTCAAGGAGTGGATGAAGATTGTTAAATGATGGACATGTCTTTCTGTGCATCAGTTCTTGTGTTGAAAAATGTAATTCCGGAAAAATTAATTTTGTTTTTTGCAAATAGACAACTGTTCTGGAGAATTTGTACTTTGTTGGGGGGAAAAAAAGAAGCACATTTGGTTTCTTAAAAACAGACACGCAATCTTCCACGATAATATTCTTTTGGCTAAGTGATAAAATTCTAGTTGATAACGTTTGGAAATATTTCCATAGACTAAAGAAGAGCAGTGTGAAATTTGTCTTGGTTGTTCACTGTGAAAAATTTGGACTAGAATGCATTGATATTATGATCTAATTAAATTTCTACATTTCCCTCTGCTTCATTTTAGGTTTCCACATGGCTGTCAAAGATTTTTGAGGATCAGCAGGTCCCTTTCTATGAAGTGAACCCGTGGACCATGGATGTTCTGTGTCGTCTGATGGAGCGGAATGAAATGCGAGACAGTGATGTCATGCAGCTGATTGAGGATGTGAAGCAAAAATCTGTGGAGTACAAGTCTGATGGTTAGTTGGTTGCAGAATATTATACAGACTATAATAAATGATTTGGATGTGAACGTAGGCGGTATGGTTAGCAAGTTTGCAGATGATGACAAAATTGGAGGTGCAGTGGACAGCAAAGAAGGTTACCTCAGACTATAATGGGATCTCGATCAGATGAGCCAATGGGCCGAGGATTGGCAGATGGAATTTAATTTAGATAAATGTGAGGTGTTGCATTTTGGAAAAGCAAATCAGGGCAGGACTTAATGGTACCACTTAATGGTACCACTTAATGGTAAGGTCCTAGGGAGTGTTGCTGAACAAAGAGACCTTGAAGTGCAAGTTTGTAGTTTCTTGAAACTGGAGTTGCAAGTAGATAGGATAGTGAAGAAGGCATTTTTGCCTTTATTGGTCGGTGCATTGAGTATAGGAGTTGAGAGGTCATATTGTGGCTGTACAGGACATTGGTTAGGCCACTTTTGAAATATTGTGTTCAGTTCTGGTCTCCCTGCTGTAGTAGGGATGTTGTGAAACTTGAAAGGGTTCAGGAAGGATTTAGAGGGAAGTTGCCAGGGTCGGAGATTGTAAGCTATAGGGAGAGGCTGAAGCTATTTTCCCCTGGAGTGTTGAAGGCCAAGGGCTGACCTTATAGAGGTTTATAAAATCATGAGCGGCATGGATAGGGTAAATAGCCAGGATCTTTTTCCTGGGGTGGGAGAGTCCAAAACTAGAAGGCATAGATTTAAGGTGAGAGGGGAAAAATTTAAAAGGGACCCAAGGGGCAACTTCTTCACGTAGAGGGTGATGCATGTATAGAATGAGCTGCCAGAGGAAGTAGTGGAGGCTGGTACAATTAGAACATTTAAAAGACATCTAGATGGGTATATGAATAGGAAAGGTTTAAGAGGGATATGGCGCAAATGCTGGCAAATGGGACTAGATTTATCAAGGATATCTGGTCAGCATGGACGAGTTGGATCGAAGGGCTTGTCTTTGTTTTGTACATCTCTATGTCTAAACGGAACACATAATCTGGGCAGGGGTAGAGTTAGTTAAGTGTTACCACACTGTTGTGCTCTATGATAGTATTTTATGCTGCTATTGTAAGCAGAGATATTCCTTTTTTAGCTTTAGTGTTGAAGAGGTTGCTGAACTTAGTTGAGACATTTTTCTTTTCTCCAAAAATGGCGATATGCAAAGCTGTTCACCCTTTGTATTGGATTTGTCGTGGAACATAATTTTCAGTCCCTAAATCTTGGAATTTTAAAATAAATCTAATTGTAGTTGTGAATTGCCATCAATGGTTTCTGTTTCCATTCATTTACTGTTACCTTTGGTGTTCCTCAAGATTCACCCATTTCTTTTTCCTCATCTGCATGCTGCCCCTAAGGCGCATCAATTTTCACATGATCATTGATGACACTAGCGTTACTTCACCTCGACCACCCTTGATCCACCACTGCCTCTAAATTGTCAGATTGTTTGTCTGAAATCCAATAATAAATGAATTAAAATTTCTTCCAATATTGCATGAATGAAACCATTGTCTTTGGCGTCCAACAGAAACTTTGTGCACTTCTCAACACCTCTATATCTTTTCTTGGCTACCGTCTGAAACTGAACCAGACTGTTTGCAACTATGGTGTTATATTTTACTCCACAAAATCATACAATCTCTATAGTGCAGAAAGAGGCCATTAGGCCCATTGGGCCTGCACCAACCCTCTGAAGAGCTTCCCACCCAAACCAAGCCCCTTATCCTATTCTTATGACCCCACATTCACCATGGCTAATCCACCTGGTCAGCACATCCCTGGACATTATGGACAGTTTATCATGGCCAATTCGCCTAACTTGCACGCATTTGGACTGTGGGAGCAAACTAGAGCACCTGGTGGAAACCCACGCAGACATGGGGAGGATTGTGCAAAATCCACACAACAGTCACCCAAGGTTGGAATTGAACCTGGGTTCCTGGAAATGAGGTAGCAGTGGTAACCATGCCGCCTCTTGTCTCCGGGAAAAGCTTTAAACTATGTATCCGTGCCATCACTAAGACTGCTTCCCCACCTCTTTAATGTTGTCTACTTCTGCTTACCTTCTGCAGAAACCCTCATGTATGTTGGTCTAGGCCCAAAACGTCAGCCTTCCTGCTCCTCTGATGCTGCTTGGCCTGGTGTGTTCTTCCAGCTCTACACCTTGTTATGGCAGTACTTTTGTCCTTGTTGGCACTCTGAACACTACCCTACCGATGCAGCTATGTCTGCATCCAAGCCTGGCTACCAGACGTAATTTCCCACCAACATCTTCATTTTGGAGACCCCTGGATGGCCCTAGTAGAGATCAGCCAGTATTTGGTGGCAATCTTTGCTCAGGACAATCACTGTTGCTCCCCATAACAAATGCTGTCCTCTACTGTGATCTGGTCTCTCTAGGTCCAAAAGTTTCAATTCTAGTTGTGATGGCCCTTTAATTTCCCCCATGACCACCAGTTGTTTCAGTTTTGAAAGGACTGGATCTATCTGTGTCCAAAGTCTGATATTGGCAACTGTGACTGGGACCATGTCCAGAAAATTTAATATCATTACAGACTGTTCCATTGTGGATACCACCGGTGATGTATCTGCTAACAGGAGGTAGCTCGATGTAACCTCCCCGATGGTGTTCTAACTTGTAATTATAAGCACTTAACTATGTGATCTCTTACTATGCCTAGAAAGGACTCAGAAAAGATTTATGAGGATGTTGCCAGGGTTAGAGAGTTTGAACGATAGGGAGAGGCTATAGGGACATAAGGGGCAACTTTTTCACGCAGAGGGTGGTGCGTATATGGAAAGAGTTGCCAGAGGAAGTAGTGGAGGTTGTACAATTACAACATTTTAAAAGGCATCTGGATGGGTATATGAATAGGAAGGGTTCAGAGGGATCTGGGCCAAACGCTGGAAAATGAGACTAGATTTATCCAGGATATCTGGTTGGTATGGACGAGTTGGACTGATGGGTCTGCTTCCATGCTGTATATCTCTGACTCTACATTAGCCTGTTCCTGGGTCTTAGAACAAAGAAAATAACAGCACAGGAACAGGCCTTTCGGCCCTCCAAGGCTGCGCCGATCCAGATCCTCTATCTAAACCTGTCGCCTATTTTCCAAGGAACTGTATCCCTCTGCTCCCTGCCCGTTCATGTATCTGTCTAGATACATCTTAAATGACGCTATCGTGCCCGCCTCTACCACCTCCGCTGGCAACACGTTCCAGGCACTCACCACCCTCTGCGTATCTCATGGATATCTCCCTTAAACTTCTCCCCTCTCACCTTGAAATCATGACCCCTAGTAATTGAGTCCCTCACTCTGGTGGGGGGGAGCGGGGAAAAGCTTTTTGCTATCCACCCTGTCTATACCTCTCATGATTTTGTAGACCTCAGTCAGGTCCCCCCTCAACCTCCGTCTTTCTAATGTAAATAAATAATCCTAATCTACTTAACCTCTCTTCATAGCTAGTGCCCTCCATACCAGGCAACATTCTGGTGAACCTCCTCTGCACCCTCTCCAAAGCATCCACATCCTTTTGGTAATGTGGCGACCAGAACTGTACGCAGTATTCCAAATGTGATTGAACGAAAGTCCTATACAACTGTAACATGGCCCGCCAACTCTTGTACTCAATAGCCCGTCCGATGAATGAAAGCATGCCGTATGCCTTCTTGACCACTCTATCGACCTGCGTTGCCACCTTCAGGGTACAATGGATCTGAACACCCAGATCTCTCTGTGCATCAGTTTTCCCCAGGGCTTTTCCATTTACCGTATAGTTCGCTCTTGAATTGGATCTTCCAAAATGCATCACCTCACATTTGCCTGGATTGAACTCCATCTGCCATTTCTCTGCCCAACTCTCCAATCTAATTATATATTCTGCTGCATTCTCTGACAGTCCCCTTCACCATCTGCTACTCCACCAATCTTAGTGTCATCTGCAAACTTGCTAATCAGACCATCTATACCTTCCTCCAGATCATTTATGTATATTACAAACAACAGTGGTCCCAACACAGATCCCTGTGGAACACTGGTCACAATTCTCCATTTTGAGAAACTCCCTTCCACTACAACTCTCTGTCTCCTGTTGCCCAGCCAGTTCTCCATCCATCTAGCTAGTACACTCTGGACCCCATGCGACTTCACTTTCTCCATCAGCCTACCATGGGGAACCTTATCAAACGCCTGACTGAAGTCCATGCATATGACATCTACAGCCCTTCCCTCATCTATCAACTTTGTCACTTCCTCAAAGAATTCTATCAAGTTGGTATGACATGACCTTCCCTGCACAAAACCATGCTGCCTATCATTAATAAGCCCATTTTCTTCCAAATGTAAATAGATCCTATCCCTCAGTATCTTCTCCAGCAGCTTCCCCACCACTGACGTCAGGCTCGCCGGTCTATAATTTCCTATATTATCCTTGCTACCCTTCTTAAACAAGGGGACAACATTAGCAATTCTCCAGTCCTCCAGGACCTCACCCGTGCTCAAGGATGCTGCAAAGATATCTGTTAAGGCCCCAGCTATTTCCTCTCTCGCTTCCATCAGTAACCTGGGATAGATCCCATCCGGACCTGGGGACTTGTCCACCCTAATGCCTTTTAGAATACCCAACACCACCACCACCCCCCCCCCCCGCAACTCCTTATGCTGACTTCACCGAGAGTAATCAAACATCTATCCCTAACCTCAACATCCGTCATGTCCCTCTCCTCAGTGAATACCGACGCAAAGTACTCATTAAGAATCTCACTCATTTTCTCTGACTCCTCGCATAACTTCCCTCCTTTGTCCTTGAGTGGGCCAACCCTTTCTGTAGTTACCCTCTTGCTCCTTATGTATGAATAAGAGTATTTGGGATTTTCCTTAACCCTGTTTGCTAAAGATATTTCATGACCCCTTTTAGCCCTCTTAATTCCTCGTTTCAGATTGGTCCTACTTTCCTGATATTCTTCCAAAGCTTCGTCTGTTTTCAGTCGCCTAGACCTTATGTATGCTTCCTTTTCCCTCTTTGCTAGTCTCACAATTTCACCTGTCATCCATGGTTCCCTAATCTTGCCCTTTCTATCCCTCATTTTCACAGGGACATGTCTGTCCTGCACTCTAATCAACCTCTCTTTAAAAGCCTCCCACATATCAAATGTGGATTTACCCTCAAACAGCTGCTCCCAATCCACATTCCCCAGCTCCTGTCGAATTTTGGTATAGTTGGCCTTCCCCCAATTCAACACTCTTCCTTTAGGACTACTCTTGTCCTTGTCCATCAGTATTCTAAAACTTACGGAATTGTGATCACTATTCCCAAAGTAGTCCCCTACTGAAACTTCAACACCTGGCCGAGCTCATTCCCCAACACCAGGTCCAGTATGGCCCCTTCCCGAGTTGGACTATTTATATACTGCTCTATAAAACCCTCTTGGATGCTCCTTACAAATTCTGCTCCATCTAAACCCCTAACACTAAGTGAATCTCAGTCAATGTTGGGAAAATTAAAATCTCCCATCACCACCACCCTATTGCTCCTACATCTTTCCATAATGTGTCTACATATTTGTACCTCTATCTCACGCTCGCTGTTGGGAGGCCTGCAGTACAGCCCCAACATTGTTACCGCACCCTTCCTATATCTGAGCTCCGTCCATATTGCCTCCCTGCTAGAGTTCTCCATAGTGCCCTCCTTCAGCGCAGCTGTGATATCCTCTTTGACCAGTAATGCAACTCCTCCAGCCCTTTTACCTCCCTCTCTATCCTGCCTGAAGCATCTATATCCTGGGATATTTAGTTGCCAATCTTGCCCTTCCCTCAACCAAGTCTCAGTAATAGCAATAACATCATACTTCCAGGTACTAATCCAAGCCCTAAGTTCATCTGCCTTACCTACTACACTTCTCGCATTAAAACAAATGCAGCTCAGACCACCTGTCCCTCTGTGTTCATCATCTGCTGTCTGCCTACTCTTCCCCTTAGTCACACTGACTTCATTATCCAGTTCCTCACAGGCTTTAGTTACTACCTCCTTACTGTCCACTAACCTCCTCATTTGATTCCCATCCCCCTGCCACATTAGTTTAAAGCAGCCCCTAGGACATTGGTTCCAGTCCTGCTCAGGTGTAGACCATCCAACTTGTAATAGTCCCACCTCCCCCAGAACTGGTCCCAATGTTCCAAAAATCTGGACCGCTCCCTCCTGCACCATCTCTCAAGCCACTCGTTTATCCTAAATAAAAACCAAAAGAACTGCGGATGCTGTAAATCAGGAATAAAAACAAAGTTGCTGGAAAAGCTCAGCAGGTCTGGCAGCATCTGTGGAGGAGAA